ATGTTTCCCTAGTAGAAAATTATACTGAAGTGGCACTCAGTAAGCATTAGTGAAAATAGGCTCTGATAGAGATGGTTGATAATCTAGAAATTTTTTTCTTTGGAGTAATGGAGTATCTAGTATTTATTTTAGATTCTGAGCGAAGTGATGAATATATCGATTTTACAACGTTGTGTGTTTTATATTTTTTTATTTTTTTTTTTTGCGTGTGTCTCTATAATACACAATAAGTAGTAGAAATTATGTTTCGGTTTTTAACTTCAGTAGGTTTCCCAGTGGGAAAGTGAATCTAGTTGATGCATTTAAGAGCTCAAAATTTAAAATTACCAGTAGTTTTAAAATGCGCCGGGAAAAACAAAATTAAGAAAAAAATGGTATTTTTTACGCAAAATAAATTTTGGATTTTGGTGTAACTTTTAAACATTTTACCATACATGAAATTTTCACTAAATATTTATGTTAGTATTAAAATTTGCATCATAAAATTTTCTTACTTTAAGCTGCATACGAGTACCTACATTAAATTTTCATTTTTTTTTTCTATAAATGTTGATCAAATTTTATACTTAAATAAAATGCTTGAAATATATAATACAAAACTCCTAATATATTGTTACAATGGTAGTTGAAAAATATTGAAAATACATAGTCACAAATTTTAATTTTTAAGCATAAAACAGTTCGAATTTTGACAAAATACATAAAAATCACGAAAATGTGCAAATTATTTTGAGTTAGAAATTCATAAAAATTTATCTTTTTAAATATAAGATTTTAAAATTCAATACAAGATTTTTCATAACTTTGTCTACTTTTATAAAATAAAATATGCCTGTCGAAATGTCAAATTGAACTTTCATAACTTTATAAGTGTTTGAATTTCAAATTTTAGCAACATTGGATATTCACTCGATTTGTCTTGTACGGACATATTATGAAATTTAAAATTGTTTTGATTTTTTATTCTATAAATGTCAATACAATTTTATTTGTTGGGTCAAAAAGCTTAAGAATTTAATACAAGGTTGCCCATAAGTTTATATAATGATAGTTGAAAAATATTAAAATACATTGAAACTTTTTTTAATTTAGAAAATTTTAAAAATTATTTAGTTAGACTACACCTAGACTAACAAATCATCTCCGYTCAGAATCGTTTTTCGTATATAACGTTATTATATTATTGAATTCAAATTTAATACCATTTATTACCACTTGTAACCTATATATAGTAAAGCGACATYTAAGTACCCAAATTAAAAAAAAAAATATTTATGCATTACAATTCAAGATACAAACGATTAGGTAATGAAATATTGAAATACATAGTTTTACTTATTATTTTAGTATATTTAAAACCAGTAACCTAATATTTGTAATAAGCAAATTTTCTGACGATATATTTTTCCATTTTTTTTACATTGGAAACGTGAAAAGGTAAATTGTCTAGTAACAGAATTCTTCTTCAACAAAGTCAATTTAAATGTTGATATTAATTGAGGTCTCTATAGTCCCTATTATAATATTGGTGTTTTTTAGACGACATATTTCTTACCTGTGGGTGCCCTTTACGCATTTATTATGAATATCAGAATATTAATATTAATTTCATAAAATAAGTTTACATCTCATATTATTTCCATGGTTGACTGATGAATCAAAAACTAAATCGTATATTAATATTAAATTAAAAATGCCAAAACTCACTTTCCTATGTATGTTGGTACAAATTATTTTTGAACTTGTAACAAACATAAAAAATAAAAACAATAGGTATTATTATTGAGTGGTGAATGCAGAAAATTGTGTGCGTATACTATATCGACGTATCGTGGTTTATAGTATACTCATAATTCACAAATCATAGCTAAATGGTTTTCATTGTCTATATTTCTGAGTTTCTTACAAGGATATTATTAGGTATCACTTAAATATTGCAGTATTACAATTTATTTTATATTCATGGCGATTAATTTAACGTGATGGCATAATGCACTCATTATAAGTATCATTATCAATTTATTACCCTTTATAACTAATAGGTATGTAAGTGATAACTACTTATACTTAGTTAAATAAGTTATATCGAAAAATTTATATAAATTTAAGCAACTTTCCTAAAAAATAAAAAAATTGTATCTGGTATATTCTTGTAAAATGTAATGAATGTATCTTGTACCTTATATCTAGAGCGCGGATTTCTATGCAATTGTATATTTTTTTCCTTTTGATATTTTTGGATTGTTGTCAGTTATGTCCACGAATCATCATAATTTGAAGCTAATGGTGAAATTTTTTTTTTTTGCATATTTCTGTATATTTAAAGGTTATTGCATATTTTTTTACATATTTTCATGATTTTAACTGCATATTTTTTGCATATTTTCATGGAATATTTCGATACTTATAAGTACTTAAAAATCCGCGCTCTACTTATATCCATAAGTGTAAATGTGTAAATTGATGTATTTATATAACTTATGTCTTTTCAAGTATCTTACCTACCCCTGAGCACAGTATGTGCAAAATTGGCAATAGTTTAAGTATTTGATTTTTCTTGCAGTTAAAAATATACGATCACAATTGTACAGAAATTATTTTAAGAGTAGTTTTAAACTAAATGTTGTTCAACACATGACAAATACGTACTTACTTATAGGTAGGCTTTAACGTAGACTATCAGTACTCACCATAAAGGCATTCTTGATGGAAGTTAATAGTCCACACTTTTTGCACCACATTGGTCTCTGCTCCTGAAAAATCGGCAAATATATAAAGTTTTACTTATATGTATAGTAATACTGTCGTGAAACCATTATTACCTCCATATATTATTATACGCTTGATGTGATAATAGATGTTTCATTTTTTTTTTTTTTGGAAAGTATACCTTTATAAATTTTTTATTGTATCAAAAGTTCATAACTAATCAGAATAGAATATTCATGTTTACTGTTTTAAGTTATTTGAATTGATTATTCGAGACAACGATATAATTAATAAAATCAATTGTACTATTTGTACTTACATTACATTGATTAGGAATGTTTCTAAGGGTATTAATATTTAAGTCAATACTAAAAATCGTATTGTTTATAATGTATAATTAATTTTGATTGTCTTCTCTCTTACCCATTCGAACAATTAGATATTTGTTGATATGCAATCAAAACCACGTTTGCAAAATTATTGAGAAAGATATTCATTTGTAGCAATTTTTAGTACAGCATATCTTTGATGGTGATAACGGAGGTGTACTATTTATTTATTAACTACTATCCTCTGTTCTATTTTATTCGCTGTTTTAAATAATAAYTGATCATAACTATATAGCCTTGAAGGAATTCATGGGGAAAAGAAYTTAGAGTGGTGATCAAGGAATGGAACATAAAATACGTGCAAACATTAAATAAAATACTAATATGGTTTCTATAATTTACACACTATAATTATTATTATTATGCACTATATAGCTATTCGACAATGATGATAAGGATTATGTTAAAATATCATATATTTTAACAAATTTTTTTTTTAATTAGTCCTTATCACCTTATCGCGTTTTGATTTCCGTCTTATAATGTTATATACAATAAACTATATGCCTAATATGATAATATTAACATTTTCTAAGACTACGATTATTATTACCACCGTTCTATTAGTAATACAAAAAATATATTTTACTCAATATTATACACCGCTACCTTTATACTAATCTATATTTCAATGTATGTGTGTAGATCACTACAATAACTATTACTACTCTACTRACGCTAACCACTATAGGTAAATTAGTTCTAAAATAAACTAATTTGATAGTAAAAAAAACATAATGCTATGATATTAAAATATATATGATGCATGACAATAATAATATGGCATTTTGTTCGTATACACACACACACATACGTATTGAATAGTAGCCAGTAGGTTTGTGTGTACCTACACAAATAAGTTCATATGAGCTATATTAAACTACTTGATTTATAAAAATATATGTATATGTATATATATATATATATATATATATATTTATAATAATATTATAATATGTGTAATAACTTAACATAATAATATATACCTAATATTAATTTGACGTACGGATGGACGGGGATTAACAACAAACACCGACGACAAAAGACTAGAAATATTTTTAGTGATGTTTTCACAGTTTATTCATGAAAACAGTGATCATCTTTAAAAACTATGATGGAA